TGATGGTTTTGTTCTTGTCTTCCAGGTCCTGTTCCCCGGTCCCGTCCGTCGCCTCCTCTCGGGGGGGGTTCTGTCACGCCCCGCTCCGTCCACTCCCGATGTGTGCCACGCCCCCCTCGTTACCTCGTGTGATTCCCTGATTGTTCTCACCTGTGATTCGTTATCCTTAGCCTGTCTCTTGTATTTAGTCCGTGTCTAAGTCGGTGTACCCCAGATCGGTCATTGTATTGTCATGTGCAGTTTGTTGTCCGTCAGTCCGTTCCTAATAAACCCCGTCAGTCCTTATTTATGGCTCCGTTTGCCTGTTTCCCGGCTCGCCTTCTCCGCCAGTGTGACAATTATGGCCTCCAGTTTTTTCTCATCACACTTTTACAAGCATGTAAGATCCAAGACTTCGTGTTTAGCATCATGTTTCCCCCATATTTTTTTTGCACATGTCTACTTGTGTACCATATTCACAGAATAACCACTAACACTGCTGGAGGCTTGCATCATAGTACTTATTATGAGCAGCAGACTTCACTGCTTCCTTGGCGTTCGCATGTGCAGAAAACTTACAGCCCTAATCGCAGCAGCCTCGTTACTCACTGTAACCCCTTGTCTGCTCAGTCAATTAGGGCATCCATTTTGTGCAGAGAAGGCATGGCAATGCCACCCCCCCCCCCACCACCACCCCCATTGGGGTATACTGCAACCAGCCCCAGCATTTAAGGGAGGGAGAAAAAATTTGTTTTATTTGCTTGAGTAATCCTGTGGTGTAAAGCAGGTAATGGCCGTCAGTTTATAAGTTCCCGTATGATTTAAAGCGGCATTTAAATTTTAACAGTCCGGCCGAAATGCTGTTGCGGAATGTTTCTCGACATGTTGTGTATTCCGCTGAGAACATGTGCTGGCATTGCCACAGAAACGCCTGATAGTCTTCAGAGCTTCGGGAAAGGCAGGAGAGGCTCCCCTCTCCCACCAAGAGGCCTAGTAATTAAAGGGGCTTTCCTCACCACGTGGCTGCACTCGACCACCCAGAAAGGAGACCGCCTGTGCGGGCATGACGAGCTTGGAGCTGCTAGCTTGTTTGTGGGTTAATTTATGCATAAGCCTCTTTAGCTCATCAGCTGTTTAGGTGAAAAAACAAATCCAAACAGATTGTTGGACACTACACTAAAGCAAACACAAAGAACTCGCGACAGGATTCTGTCGGTGTATCTGTTGATTATGTTGGTTTTGCTAAGAACATTAACCTTCTTAAGCCACTAACCACGTCAAACTACCAGCAGGAAGGTTCATTATATGATGACGTTTATACTACTGTGCTACTTATAGTGTTATCATTCTAGTAGTTTTAGTCATTTTCTACATTTCACAAATTAGAGGTATTAAGCGAACAGTGAAGAAGCTATTTAAAGCTGACGCTAAAAGCAAGACTGAAAGATATGAATTGTGCAGAAAAGCACCAATCGAGATGAATGGCTTGGTCAGAACCCTAACTATAATATTTATCTGTAAGTTAATGTTAATGCTAATTTTGTTCATCTCCACCAATGTCCTGCCTCAGCAACAAAGATCACAACCAAGCATATCCAGTAGTTTTTACACACGTTCTTCAAACTCAGTGACATTTGTAAGTTCACCAGCATAAATTATTTGCTTCAGCTATGTCACAGTATTTCAGTGGGGTTTACCTATGGTAAAAACTTGGTAGTAAATCTGCACACCTGTCCCCCGTCATGACCTTGCTCATCTTCACCTGAATGACATGACAATCCAAACCGTGACAACAGCATAATGCTGGACCACTCATGCGAGGTATTTACTGTGCAACGTGGAAACGGGTTATTTGGCACCAGATTCTAGATGACTGGAAAAAACATCTATGGATCAAAGGACATTGTGAGAGAACAATTGAAGATTCTTTAGGCTGTTTATCACAAAGTGAAGATAAGTGAACTTTCAAGAGATTTTCATTTCATTCTGAAGTTAGAATCATATACAGTATATGTCTCAGCAGAGAGATCTATATATCCTTTTTCATTGTTCTAGGAATCTTCATGACTTGCTGTATTGTTGTGCTTCTTTGGTAAGATTTTTCCTAGGAAGATACACCACTGCCCCAAATGGCGAGTAATACTGTACCCTTCTTCAGACTCATATGTATTCTTTTTGCTCCAGGAATTTGAGTTTGTGCCTTTGGAATCTGTCTGCTAACTTTGCTCTGATCATAAAAGCCAGATTTATATTAAGAAAGGCTGCCACAAATCAAATAGCATTATTTATTAGTGTTCAGCTGACCATTACTTACGCCTTTATTTGGTTTAGGTTAACTTAGGTTTGGTTTAGGTTAACTTAGGTTTGGTTTAGGTTAACTTAGGCCTTTTTGTACCTGAAGGTTGCGTGCAAGGCCAGTCAGTCTTACAGGTGACATTGGTGGTCGCTTGGGACACAAACTTAGCCAGCTGAGTTCGCTTGAAAGCGGTGTGTGATGTCCAGTACAAAGTGTAATTGGCTTACTTGCACCATAAAAGTATTAATGTCCTTGCAGTGCCAACACAGAACAGCTGTGTGATGTGGGGGGTGGGGGGAGGTGTCAGGAATGCTGTTAGGTAAGGACAGTATAACAAGCAAATTATTAGTAAGGCTGTCAAACAATTCATTTTTTAAATCATGATTAATTACACGCTTTGGCATTTAATCGCATAAACAATCATGTTGCAATACCATCAAAAACGTTTTTATAGTCTGTATGATCAGTATAGAAAGTTCATTCAATTAAAAAATCATACTATTATCCCATTGGGATATCAAAATGAACACAATTAAAGTTATCAAAAAGTTATCAAAGAAATAATAATGTGTTATAACGTCAAGGCACCTGTTATTTTAGATATACTGTATAATGATTTTTATTCGTAATGATTTTTTTCCATTATGAAAAAAATGTTACTTATGATTATATTTGCATTATAATATTATATAATATTAAACAAAGAACAATATTTTTTCACTAGTGGTGAAGAAGGCACAGGGCACTACATGGGCTTAACTAGCCCTGGTTGCACGTTTCACTACCTTCTACCTCAAATAATAATTTGAAAAAAGCACCAGGATTTAATACTATATAATTACATACAGTATGTGCACGTGTTAGATTAAGCGTATTTATTAAAAAGCACGATAGACAGAGGGTCTGAAATTGGGATTAATGGGTGAGTCAAAGTTTAATTAAGTTATAGAATTACTCTGTACTGTACAGTGTATTTCTGGCCTTTGATATTTAGGTTAGATGAATCATCTTAATTCGTAAGCACTTTGTAAAAGTATTTCAGAGCAATTTTCATGAAAATAAGATCTTTTTATGGGCCACAATCAATCTTAATTTCTTAAATACGCCTGGTCAGTTAGAGTCACAAATTATGCAAAATTAAGCGAACTGTGAACTTCCAGGAATAGTGAGATCAGCAGCCACTGAAAACAGCTCCGAGTCAAATGAGGGGTGTCGGGGTGTGTGAAGGCTGGCAATCCCAATGTAAAATAAAGGAGAACCAAAGGCTTCCACAAACAGCTTCTATTAAAAGGGAAAATGAAAGGCACAACTGATAATAAAATCTGCGGCTGCATTCTAAATATACCATTTAGCAACGTTTTCCAAAACAGAAGCTCTGCTTTTTCTAGCGAAACCCATATTCCAGCCACTGTTCACACACAAATGAAACAGTCATGCACATGCATGTACATAGGCTATGTATGTAAGTTCTCCATAGTGACCCCCAACTATATACACAGTAACTGCAATGGGATGGATACATAAAACCATTTAAAAAAAAAACCTTCATAAAAAGGCACCTGGACACACACATCTGGAACAGAAACATTACATTAGTTGCTTACCTTTTTAGTTTTGACAGTTGAGTGACAGCAGTCTCCACCGTCATAGTTACAGAACGCTCGGTTGTTGATGGCGTCGCAGTAATTGTCACCCATGAAGGGCTGTGGTACATCACAAGAAGAACAGTTATCATCCTTTCATGGTAAAGACATCAAAAAGAGCCATAAAGTCTGTTAGCTTTGCTAGCTTAATGCAGCTAAATGGCTAAGTTAAAAAAGAAGCTAATCAAAGGTTTCTCAGTAGTTATGTCAAACTTTGTTCATAGAGAATGCTAATAGTTCGACTCATATTTAAGGCTGAATCGGCGCCAGTCCCACCCACCGTGACAGATACTCACAATAACACAAACACACACATGCATATTCACTCTGATTGACTAGATTGCCAGTATTTTTTTCCCTTGGTAAGTGAAGGGGCCAAGTGAATAGAGCAACTGAACACCTATTAAATGTATTTGTGTCCCTCATGGGAAATTCTACATATTTTCATTACAATAAGTACTTCAAAGTTAAGAATTGTTGCAGTTTCATTTGCTCGATCACAGCACAGCCAGCCTAAACTAAATAAGCACAAACTGCAGGGTGTTTGACTAGACCAGCTGATCTCGAAATCTTGAGCTGTGCAAATGCTATAAAGTGACTGAATACTGTACTTATTTCAAAGCAACCCAGCAACTATGTAATTTGTACATGTGGACTCAAAAGAACCTAGTTTTGAAGCTTTTAATGAGTCACTTGAACAGTTGAGTGCCATGGTGCAGAGAGCGTGACTACATGGAATTGTTGTTAATTGGCTGGAAAACATTTTACAGAGCTGATAACAGTACTTTTGAAATTCATTTACGTCGAAGAATTTCTCAGATGTCATTCATATGAGTTTGGGTGTGTGAACTGAATGCTAATGTTTCACACTTGAGGTTACAACTGGAGGACATCTAATTTTAACCAATTTAATACAGTATAGCACTCTTATGGGGCAACTGTTTCTGTTCAATTCATTTAAATAAAATTTTCCATTAAAATCAGATTTTCACAATGTATTTAATTGTATTTGCGTGCTCTTATTTTGTTATGCATTTTTTTCCATTCTTGAGCATCAGCAAGTTGCTTTACACAGAGTTTATGCATCAATGAAACAGGTTTCCACAGAGGAAGCCATTAAAACATGTAAACGCTGAGAATAAAAATGGTGCTACATAGCAGGGCAGCTATGAGACTGGAAAACAAAATAGATTTTCAAAGTGTTTGTTATTGTGCTTATGAGCCGGCTTGTAAGCTTTATGTGGCCATGTCATTTTTGCCATGTTAAGGAAATGGCTGTATTAAACTGTTCTTATTTTTTCTAATCCTAACATAAAGCAAAACAAAAAAGCACAGAGCCCAATAAACCCACAGTGTTTATTACCTACTGACTGGCCCTATGGCCATTCTTTGATGACTGTTGGTAATATTATACATCATGTTCAAGACGTAACAGAAAGTAGGCAACACCAAGATCCATCTCAATTCCACAGCAATCACACGTGAAGAATTATCAAGATTTATAACTGGAAGGAGCAGAAACACAAACCGAAACAGAGACAAAAAACATAAAGCCTCATGCCATGTAACCTAGGTTCAATTTTATTTTCTAATGTTTTTGTGTAGTGTTAAAGTTTGCAACCCTCAATTCCTGGAAGTCTGAGCACTTTCTGCGGAAAGCTGAGAAAACCCAACTACATTTGGTGAGTGGGCAAATTGCAATCATTTTCCAAGTTCTCTAAAAGCAACATATTAAAAAATCAAGGCCCCATCTAAACAAAGCCAATGCCAGCATTAAATGTCAGCTTATACCATTTAAATCTAAAACCTGATCCGTATGTTTCATTAGCCATAGAAGCTTGTAGTGAAAACCGACACATTCAATCTGTTGTCTCTGGATCCCTTACAGAGCTTTTGCCATGGGGCAGTTTGCCAAGGAGCACTCAACTTTGGTGAACCTTAATTTAGCTTTATTTTGTTATTATTTTATAATCTAAAGAGTTATAACTTTAAAAATTAATTACAAACTAAAATAGTTTACTTCTCAAAAAAAGCATCAGACACTAAATGATATAGGTAGATTGACCTTAATCCCATCTTTGACCCAAAACACAATTAGCAGGTGCTTTCTCTGGTTTTACCAGAACTACCATCAAAGTGATACATCACCTTTGTCTGAAAATGTATAAAAAACATCAAAATATTTCATTGCAGAAATACATTATGTATCAAGGCAAGTATGGAAAAAATGAAAATCCATAATTCACATAGGGTTTCGCGAATGTCAGCCAAATTACCGAGGCTAACACAGTTACATGATCCCTTATAAAAAAAAGTGCATAGGTGATTTTGAGACTTAATAAAAATGACCAGAAATGTTTTGGGGAAAAGAAGACATTGAATGATGAACCCGTTGGCAGGGTATCTAAAGGCTCTTACCTCACAACCTTTAATGCAGCGCAATGCTTCTGGATGAGGGAACCACTTCAGGCCCATCGTACACACAATACTCTGCATGGGGACACAGAAAGACCGTAAGCATGTGAACATGTTCGCACAGTAAACAGACTGAGGAGTGTGTCCCTCGCTCCCTGCTCCAAATTCCTTCTCATCCTTCAGGGGCGTGTGAGAAGCTGACTAAAATGTGAGGCTTCATATAGCATTACTGTTAAGGAAATAACTAAACCTGCCAGTTTTTCCAGTGTGTGAAAAACACATTAAATGAATAATCATAATAATGTAATCATTCATCCATCCATCCATATATGTATTTAGCTTTTGTAAAATTAATTTCACTGGCACTGCAATATGTCATTCTGTAAGCATTCATTAAATTCATTGCACATTGCTGGCTTTACATGTAAGTGTATATATTTAGCAGATACTTTTGTAAAAAGTGACAGTTTATCAGAGTGAAATGGCACAATATCAGCAAACATGCAACGTGAGAATTTTCACTGAAAACCTACATAACTTTAACTAATGTGTTATATGTTGCATTATTCCATTCCAATAGCTAAAAAAACACCTATACATTTCACTGTTCTGCTTATTTCATCTCACACACACGTTTGTAATTACATCTTTGTGAGGACTCTCCGTTCATTTCTATGGGGAAAACTCTAATCACTGCATGATGACCTTAACCCCGTACCCAGCCCTAACCTTAACCAAATGTAACAAAACAAAATATTTTTTCTTTTTTGATTACATTCACAGATCTTTGTGGGGACCTGAAAAATGGTCCCCACAACGTCAAAAAAAGGGTTTTCATTACATTGTGGGGGACATTTTGGTCCCCACAAAGTAATATAAACCTAATCCACAAACAAAGACAAACACACACACACACACATATATAACATAACAACATACTCTCGTTTTATATGGACATATGAATTTCCCTTATTGAGGAATGATGTGATTTATTTAAAATATTTTTGCTAACTTTTTGTCATACTTTGCATGCACCTTAAAAGATTGCAATGTCAGGAACCACTGAGAACAAATGCATAATATATACTGTACTGATCATACACCTTCCTGCAACTATTTGAACTTTGGACTGACTGACAAATCTAGCAAATCTTTCATCAAATTGAGATACTGATCTCTGGAAATCAAATCTGAGCTCATTGCTTGATTTCCAAAGCTGGAGGAGTGTCTATCATATTTTTCATTTTATCTGAACATTTTGTTTTAAGTCCCACCTCTACTTTTTCAAGGCCTTTGCAAACATCATGAGCGTGACGGGATATACGGCCCTCCTCAAAAAGAAACTGGCCTGGGTTGCAGTGACATTTCTCTCAGGGGGATTTGCTTTGGGGGCTGAAAACCTACTGTACAGGACCACAGGACCTTCTCCACTAAGCATAAAACACTGTAAGCGGAAGGTTACCGTCCTCATGCACTGGGACACCTGTATCATTATGTCTACTTAGCAAGGCCCTGCTTCTGATTTCCACACGGGGGCAAGTGTTCACATCTACAACGAGCTACTTCTGCAGACAGGTTCTTCCCAAGCTGACACAGGTGAGGATGTGGAGAGAGATGTGTTCTGGGGGACTCATGGGAAGGAATGGGGGGAATGGAAATGTTGACCGTAAACATACTAATTCCAAGAAAGCTGGCGTTCTAGTGTCGGTAGACGGCAAGCAAGGCGTTGAGTCCTAGTCTGAGACATCTACACACACTTAGTATTCAGTGTCACACTGAGCTCTGGCTACTTGTTTATATAAGGGCTAATTTAAACCGTCTGCTCAAGAAACCTCTGCTTGTTTTTATAGCTCCTCTCAAACCCTGCGCTGTTTGAGCCTTACCTGACTTCTATTAAATAGACTTTTTATACTATCTGCATCTGGACTGTTTTTCTGCTGAGTTTCCGATTTTCCAGCCATCAACGCGAAGACTCTGCCTTTTCCATCAGCGGCAGCTGCCTCTCTGCGCATGGGGACATTTCTGTGTGCGTCTGCATACGTAGCTGCGACTACCGCAGTTCACATGCATCTCTATGTGATCCAGGTTAAGGTTCAAAGAGATACCATAATGTGATGTGAATTGTGCTATTCGGCTATTATTCAGGCACATATTTCAGTCACACTCTAAACGTGTATATCTCAAGACCATCTGCTGATATAAACTAGTTAATTGTTAGTAAAAGTAAAGGCAAAAAACTGTAACGACCCATCACAGGAACTCAAAACAGCAACGCTCATCCCATTGTGACCTGATGATTACCCCAACTGCTGATTAAGAAGTAAACAATCAGTCAGATTCCAACACCCAGAATTTGCCAGAATTCCTCTGAAGAATTACATGCTTTTTCCCAATGTTAACAATAAATGAAAGTGAGTTTACAGAAAGCTGGAGTTCCAGAGGCCGATTGTATCTGAGCAATAAAACCCAAGAAGGAACAATCATTAGAGAATGGTAGTTATTGTTGAAACGTTGGTTCCCTTCCAAACACTGTCAGCGACCACAGGGAACGCCTGTAATAATACTGAAGTGGACTGACGAAGCATATTGCGGATCCAATAGGTGGAAATTTAGCAAAGGGCCTCCGATCTACCACATTTACTCATTACCACACAGGCAATCTAGGTCATGTGGACATTTTTCAAAACACAAATTTAACGTGAGAGATTACATCACTGTGTCCCCATTTGTTTCTCAGGTTTAAACTTTTTCCGCATTTTTTTTTGTTTGAGACCTATTACAATGTGTAACTTGGTGTGCTGTACAGAAATACACTTTTGGTTCAACATACGGGAAACCTTTCGTCATACTGAATAAAACTGATAGAACAGAGAACTACATATAAATGTATTACACAATAATAATAATAATAATAATAATAATAATAATAATAATAACACTATAGTATTTATTTGGTGATCAGTGATCATTGTTGACACACCAAAGCACACAGTGCACAACAACGAAATGTGTCCACTACATTTAACTCATATATGACATTGTGACATAGCAGGGGGCAGCTAATTCAGCGTCCAGGGGGCAGTGCTTGGGGGCGGTACCTTGCTCAAGGTATAGTATACTATACTAGTTAGTATACTATAATATTTAATGTACTATATATAATATACCTTTACAAATCTTGTATATGTCAGATTTATAATATATACATGTAATTATTAATTGGTTATAGATAGCTCTTAAAATGCTATTATATTTCATTCTTAAGTATACATACAAAAATAGTGTGAGTACCAAAACTGTCAGTACATTGAGCTCTAATGATTTAGGCACACTCCATTTTAATTTATACATTTCAATGTGAATGCATCACTGTTCCCTGTAACTCAATCTTTCACAGAGGACATACTGTCTCTGGATTATAATCTCTAGCTCGTCACAGTAGCAGGGCACATTCATTAAGAGTTACCTTGTTTTTCCAATGCAGGGTAATTACCAGCAATGACTACTACTTGCCTGATTCTCCTAGTAATGAATGGTAATTGATAGTAACCTGGGTAGTCATGTGTTGTGCCAAGTAATGGGGAACACCTTTCATGTTCTCCTGCCCTTGCTTCAGCTTCCTGAACCTTCCCATCACTCCAATAATATTCACATGAAGTAATGGGAGAAAATGCTCGGACTTTACATTTGTAGGTCTTCAAATGTTCTTGTTTAAAATTAATTTGAGGAAGCACTTCTTTACACAGCATGTAGTTAGAGTATGGAATAGTCTTCCTGCTAGTGTAGCGCAAGCTAAAACCCTGGGTTCCTTTAAGTCAGAGTTAGATAAGATTTTAACAGTTCTGAGCTATTAGCTAAGTTCTCCCCAAACGAGCTTGATGGGCCGAATGGCCTCCTCTCGTTTGTAAATTTCTTGTGTTCTTATTTACAGCTATAAATATATATATATATATATAGCATATATATGAGAGAATGTTCAGTGTATATACTGTTGCTTTAGTTTTGTGACTTACCAGGACGCTCGATGGCTAACAGTTCAATCAGTGACTGCGATGGGGAATGACGCTTAAAGTTTCAGAGCTTAGGCTGGCTGAACATTTTGCTGTCTAATTAATAGTTCTGCCTTAATAAGTAAATCTCTTAATTAAGGTGGCCTATGAACCTCTATATTTTACTGTACTCAAGGCTATTAACATTGTGGCACTAACGTGAATCATTTTCTATTTTTATTACAGTATATGCTGTTCCGATATAAAGGTGTCAGCTTTGTTTCCAGTCAGAGGTAAAGTCAGTGGTGACCTCACCTTGACTTTGGGTGGATTCATCCAGTGGTCTTTCATTATGGTCTCTACTGTTGTGTTGTCGGGCAGGACGACCACATTGTTGTTTCTGTCCTTGCACATCAATTCACACTCTTCACCTGAAAGTGCATGAGGAATAAAATAACACTACAATTACGAGAAGCCTGATGGAAATTCCACCGCAAGACGACTCTAGTTTGGAGTTTGAGCAGGACCTAAATGGATGGTGTCTGAATAGCACAAAATAGAAATCAGGCAAAGAAGGCAGAGAAGTAGTAATAAAAAAAAACTTTTTTAGCAATCAATAGTATAATATTCATGTTATGCCACAAGAGCCTGAATAAAAAATCCCACACAATCCTTGCATGGTATTTGTTAAGTATTTTCCATCCACTGATGCACATGCACATATCTTGGCCGTGTTTGGGTGTTTTTTCGTCAGAATGGTCATGAATACAGACCTATTCCATGTCCATCCTTACAGCTGACACGGATGCTGGGACTCAGGTTCTGAGGGAGGGAGCACCGTCCTTTCATCTGAGGGCAAATCTTCAATGAGCCAGTCCAATTTCCATCCTTTCTGCATCGGATCACGTTGGTAGCAGGACCCTGAAGTCAACAGTGCAAGTACTTAAAACATATTTTTATAAACCTAGACATTATCCAAAGCTTAAGTCAGGTTTTATGTAGCAGGCTGACTAATCGTCTCGTATACGTCAATTCCAATTACTCATATTCTTCACCAACAGATTGTCTGGCTGTGGATAAACCAGGAACATGGCAGTTCATTATAAGACATTGTGAGTAGTGATTGAGAGAGAGAGGCCCACTTAATGAGATGGAAAAAATAAAAGAGGTAAAGCTGACGTCACACTTTAACATTTGGTTAACCTTTAAGTCCATTGCCTAGCAGGTACAAAATAAGGTTTGGAGTTAGGGCTTCACTGCAAGCCAGTGCTAGCCTTAAATCCAGGTTTGCACTGCCAGATTGACATTACGTCAGATATAATGTCTTCTGGTAACAAAACAGACACATGAAAAACAAACAGCAAGAAGGAAAAGTAGAAGAAGATGGCTGGCTGACAAAAAACAATGAGGAACACCGACGTAAGCCAGACAGGAAACGAGGCAACGGGAAAAGAAAAGTTGACAGACCTTGGGGCTTGGAGCGCGCTTCTCACCGTATGCATGTCTGCGTCGCAGCTGATCCAGCAGTCGCTGTTGAACCTAAAGCCGTCGGTGCACCGGAAGCTGTCGTGGAAGACGGGGGGGGGAGGTGGACAGGTGACCGGCTCGCAGGCCCCCTCCTGCCAGCTCCCATCCTCGGTGCACTGTCTCTTGAATGCACGCCTGGGGACGGAGACAGCATCACTAAAAACACAGGGACATTGGGTGCATTTTAGACTGGGAGCTCAGAATTAAAAGACAAATGCAAAGGACATGAACCTCATGGCACGGAAATTAACGAATGGATTTAAATAAGCAAAACCAGACTGCAAGCTGATTGGCTTCCCCTGGAGGATCCACCCCAGCCTTTTGCTATCTGGGATAAGCTCCACCCCCCCCAACTCCGATCAGGTTTATGTGGTTAGAAGATAATGACGAATGGGGGTGGATGGACAGATGGAAAGGTGAATACTGCAAACTACCTTCAGTGTCATATTTACGAAAATACAACAATCAAATGACAGATTGCAACCCTCAAGTAGTTTATCAAACTGAACAAAAATACTTTGTGTCCCAAATAGATCTGTATTTATTCATTAATGTCCAACATCAGACGAGCACTGGTGTCAACAGAGATGGCCTCACCTTCTCAGCCTGTCGGTGTTGGACACCTGGTAGCCAGGCTTGCACTTGTACTTGCAGAAAGATCCCACCTTCAGGCCGGTGAAATTGCACCGCCGGGTCTGCAGGATGGCGTTGGGAACTGGGGGTGGTGTGGGACAGCGCAGTTCACAGAGCGCCTCCGGGAAAGACCACATGCCGTCCTCCATGCAGGTCAGAGTGTTGTTGGAGCCTGAGGGCAGGTGGGGATATGACAGGGAGAAGGCCATTGGGCAGGTGGGGATATGACAGAAGGAAAGGCCATTGGGCAGGTAGGACGCAGAGATGACAGCCATAAAAGCATCATTTAACTCTTTTTGAAAGCGTTTGTTCTTTAGTTCAAGCTGGACAAAGTTTCTTCACAATGGAGCTACTGCAAACCAATATAGAAAATACATAAAGATGCAAAATCATGTTGTATTTAATCAGATGATTTTTCCTTGTTTTGTGACTGACTGTTAATGTCTGCCCTTCGCATTTGTGATCTGACCCCAATGGCTGTTTCCACAGCATATGTTTTGATCGCATCTGTCTATGTTTATTGATCCAAACCCTGACCAATTCTGTAGCTCTCTGCCTTTCCCATGTCATGTAATGTGCGATTGTAAATTGCATATGATTAGAAACATTCAGCTTGCAATTGCTTCTCTGGATTCATTTTCCCGTTAGTGTTCAATGCCATCCATGCGGTTCCGCTCGGTTCCGCTTGGTTCCGCTCGGTTCTGCTCACCTACGAGCTGAGCAGGCTCTTTGCACTGAAAGGTGCATCTTTTGCCATAGGTTGTTCCCTCAGGAAAATGGAAGACAGCTGGGTGCACATGGTACTTGTCTGGTCGTCCGCAGTCCACAGGTTCACAGGTCACCTGCTTGTTCCACTTGCCATCGGCACAGGTGATAGTTACTATGGAGTCTGACTGCAGGACAAGGAGAAAACAGGAATTGTCTGTCCATGCTGCTACATTCATTCTCAATTCCATGGTTTTACCAACACATTAGCAAGAATCATGATATTTAAATGTGGATATACAAAAAAATGTACCTTTGCTTGTTACTCGTAATTCTATCTTTTAAGGTACAGAAGTGGACTCTGAGGAACATCCCAAAGGTACAAACAGCATTAATGTACCAATGGTACAGAAACATTCCTCAGAGTCTATTGCATACCATCAAAGGTACAAACACCTACAGCTAAGGGTCCACTTGGCAAACCATAGAGGGTACAGCCTCAGTGACAAGCAAAGGTACAAATGTTTACCCTTTTTCTGAGAGCGTAGAGGTTTGGCAAAATAATAGATACCACACAAAAAAGGACTTTGAACTAATTATATCACACTTACAAACTACAAAGGTGAGTCATTTTAGGCTGAATTGCAGTAACCAGTATGTATCAGCTATTAGAGGTCAAACAACCAGCACTTTGAAAATGTGACATTTCGAGGCAATACCAGGCAGCAATAGAACTCCAACAAGGCCAAAGAGCAGGTGCAACAGCCACAAAAACTGCTAAATTATTTAAGGTTTCAAAAGGATAAACTGCACCAGCAAAGAGAAATAGCAGATAGTCAAAGCTAGATAGACAGACACTTAACAGGCCAGTTGATAATCAACACAAAGGTATAGCCTCAAAAATCACAACAGAACTGAATGTGTAGTATGTGACTAAAAAATGCAGAATTAACAGCAGAGCAGCCACTTGCATCCAAAGCTATGGCAAAAAGACAGATAATGACATTGTGAAGAAAATATAAAGCACTTTGATACAATGAAATGTTGTGGAAATGCACCATACACATGAAATTGAATTGTATAACCGGGAGAAAGGTGAACAACTTTTTTGCTATATGATTAAGTTAAATGGTCTGATAAGTCATCTTTCACTTGGAAAAAGCCAAAGGATGCCCTCAAACTACAAATCCTGTTAGTGTGGGCAGGCCACCCCATCAAAGTCATTACGCTCAATGTTTACTGCGCATGTGTGTGTAACAGACAAGGAATATGAGGCCTCTTTACATGACCAGGTTCACGTTTCCTCCATGATTTCGTCATATTCCAAGGTGATGATGTCCCTGCACACACCACTAAACAAACTCAGGAGTGGTTTCATGAACACCAGGATGAGGTCAAATGGCCTTCCCTATCACCAGATCTTCCTTCATAGGAAGTTATGGATTTTAGAGTACAAAGTAGATTTGCACCTCCGTCCCCAAAGAATTGCAGGCTTTTAATCTTGAAGAATGGCTCTGTATCCCACAACACATTCAGGCCTTGTTTGATAGCATTCCAAGAAGAATTAAAGCCATTTTGAAGGAAAATGGTGCTGCTACTCTTTAGTGGTCCAAGATGTTAACACATTGTTAGGTGTTTCTATTATTTTGTCCAACCCATTTACATTAGAACATTATTCATAACAATTATATGCCATGTAAATCACTTAAAAGTTATAACTGAAACTTGAACAGCATGCCGTTTATTTGAAGACATTTCCAAATTCAGGTCTGACCCACTACTGTTTACAGCATTATGTTGTATGGGGCTTTCAATACAATTTGTATCCTATATATTTTATTGGTCTTATTGCATCTTTTTATTGCATAAATTTACTGAGCTCATTCTCAGAGACCTGGAGGCAAATAAAACTACTTGAAGAATGTATTGCTCAGAAAACAGCCAACACAAGCAAGTCAATTTAAATTAATAATAAAAAAATAATAAGTCAATGTGTAATCCGATCCAAAAGAATCCTATAAAGCCCTTTTCATCCACTGACCTTACTTTCTACGCACTAGTTCGAAAGACTGAAAGAGTTTACACATATGGTTAAGAATAATTTCAGGTTGCATGAATGTCTAAATTACAGTAGTATAGTACTAATAAAATAGTCACCAGGACGCTGACTGGAAAACACAGAAACACAGAGGCTGCCAGAAACTGGACAGAACCGTTTCCACTTGTCCCAGCCAAAGAACACTGTTGCATTTTAACTCTCCTTAAGTAATGCTATTGTCTTCTCTCAGAGGACAGAGCCACAGACAAAATACAAACTGTGCAACTGTGCAACTGTGCAATGTACCAAACACCAGCGGTGAAGAGGCAGAGCGAGTCACTGAACAGCATCGGGACACGCAAGGAGACAGAAGGCCACAAGGAGACAGACAGGCAGGCTTGCTGGGAGAACTTCAGATTTCTCACAAAAGGAAAAGTGGGTATGGAAAATGGATGGATGGATATTTGACTCCTTACTAATTACTAGTACATACCTTTAATCTAATTCAAAATAGAGCTAGGACTTCGGTTCCTGTTCATTGCTACATTCAGGGCTTTAGGAATTGCAATGTTACATTATTACATCACCATCAATTCATCTAACTACATATTTTGGACAGTAGGGGGAAACTGGAGTACCTGGAGGAAACAAATGCAAACACATGGAGAACATGCACACCCCACACACCGTAAGTGCAACTTGTATGCAATCTTTCACTAATATTTACTATACTATACACTACATATAATATTATACTTAAGCCTCAGTTTATCAATGAATTACTTTTTACTAAATTACAGAAAGAAATTTTACAGTGACCTTGCCACTGTGTAACATTATCCTTAAATGTACAACAGGCAGTATTAATCATGAATGTACTGTAATATATCCCTAGCTAGTATTTTGCTAATAATTATAGCTAAGGAGGGAAGTTTGTTTCCCTTCCATACATGCGACTCCTCCGTTACCAGGATTACCTACAGCCCCCTGGGAAAGGAGAGCATGCATTCACTGGGGAACTGGGCTTTGAAGAAACAGCACTGAAGCGATGCTCTGGATTCCAGTGCTTATCTAATGTACTGCACCCTCCAGAAAATGTACCACCAGCAGAAACTGAGCAAAACAGCAGGAAACAGAATGTAAAATGCAATCCAGACTCAGTCGCAAGCAGTGTCTTTTTTTCCACTTCTCCTTTTCCTTTCTCCCGCTCCTTCGCTGGAGATCCTTTATTGGAAACAGATCTTTTCGGGTCACTGTGCACTGGAGTTATGACTGAAAATTGGAATCGAAGACCACACAAGGGATTGCACAAGTGTGTGCATGAGTGTATGTTTCAGACCAAGACCATTTGAAGATTATGTAAGGTCTTCAGCCAGCCAGAACCTTACAGGCCTTTCTGTGTTATCCTTTTTTAACTGATACAAACAGCATGTTGTAGTGAAGTAAAAATGTTTTACAGATTTCATCCAGTTCAACTGTCTTAAGTTCACCATTCCGGAAAAATAAATGCCTGTAACAGAACCGTTATACTCTTTGATAAAAAATTTTATTAAATTGTGTGTGTGTGTATATATATATATAGGACTGCTGAAAACAAAGTAATCTCAGGACTTTTTAGCAATATTATAACTGATGCATTTATTCGTTTTTTATGTTTAAAGATGTATTATGACATATTATTTTATATTGTAAAACAGAATGTAACCCCACTGTTCCGCTTGTGCTTACCGCACATAAAGTTCTCAGGCACTTAGCACATTTTACTCTTAAATAATAAAATCAAATGAAAAGAACAAAACAAACAAAGACACAAAAAGCCATTGGTCATACGATTCCCTGTCTATTACTCCTCTCCTAGTTCTTTCAGTCTGAAAGGTCATCTCCATAGGGCATCGCACAAAGTTTTAACAACCTGATATAAAAGAATGTTGCTACAACTTTTGATTGCTATTATGACAGTAGCTATAAATCAGGCAATGCTGTCACCTCTGCAGGCAGACAGAATGCACCCCCCCCCAGCCTTCTGAAAGCCTAGGAAATCCCTTCGGTAGACCCCAGACAGCAGCGGTCACTGCTCACTGTTCTCACCAGCCCCGCCGGACCTACGCCAGCCCAGTCTGAGGATTAATTAGACAACTGCTCGTATTTATAGCCAGCGAACAGCCCGCAGGCTCCAATGAAGATGAAAACGCCTCTCACTCTCTCTCGCACACATGTGGAAAGACATGCACACGCAATGCGTCCTCTGCAGCAGACTACAGGGCTGTTTTCGTGACGGCATTTCACATGGTTTAAAAGAATTATAGTTTGGACCACTAACTTATGCGAACAGTCTGGTCTTTTTCACGTTGTTAGTTTTACATAATGAACAGTGGTCTTTGAGGTGAATAAACACTAATTACCCTGCAATTAGCCTTCTGAAAACTGCGGCCTAAAACATTCAGCTAGTTTGTGAACAGATGAAGCAGTCTGTTGGTTTGTATTAGAAAAATAAGCAGCTTTTGACTCTATGGCCTTCCAGTATCTGCTGAGGAGTGTGTAATTGTAGAATTTATTTTATTGTAATTAATTCAATTTATAATGAATTCAATTAATCATTTATTAAAAATGATGACATATACCAAATTATCACATTGGAAATGAATATGATATATTTATATGTACTCCTGTAAGACTCCCTAAAATATCCCAGAACTTCTGTGACACTAATTTATTGCATGCAGGCACACCGAACTGGGGAACCACCATTGTCCTACATAGCAAAGGTAGTGGCTTCTCTGTCGTCTTACTGTTAGAGTAGCAGGTGAAACCCCAGTTTATACTCTGTTTATAGACCTACAACCTCATCACCTTTTTCCTTCTTTCTCACTGTGCACTTCTGTTTTTTCCCCGGCCTTGCACTTCTTCACCAACAACTGCATCTCTCTCAGCCTCTATCCCCCGTTTTCCTTCTCTTCTTTCTCTGCCTGTTGACAGATGACTATGTCTTACAGGCCTTCAACACCTTGGGAAACTTGGACAGTTCCTTGGTGTTCCTGAGAAAAGGTTTGCCTCCAGCTGACACACAACATTCCAGACATCCCTTTATATTCGTGTGCATTTCACTTTTGCACTTTTAGGTAACTGTAAAGAGCATTAGCGCCCTCAGTG